CTCTTGTGAAACTACAGTAAACAGAAGAGATCCAAACCCCTGTAAATTGAGAATGCAGGTTTCAGCTGTCAGGATCTCATTGGGAAGATTCAAGCTGCTTTGTTGGTGTGCATTGGTGCAGTGACAGATGTATACTGACCATTTGAAGGAAAGTGAAGGAGTTTAGAAGAACAAGTAGGATTGCTAAACAAATTATGTTTAAACACAGGGAAGAAAAGGACAATGGAAAAGGAAAAAAAAAAGAGGGGTTTCAGTGGAGGGTATCTTATTTTATTGTTCTTATTATGTCTTCACTGGAATACACTAGAATAAATGCTCTGGGCTGTAAAATAACACCATTCAGCACAGAATGGATTAAATTCAGTGAGAACATCTTTTCTGATCCTTTGATTACATATGAGCAATGTTTGTGATTATGTTTCCCTTTTTCAGCAGAAAACACCAAAACATACCACGGAATTGCTGCATAACACGGAAAACCTTCTCTGGCTTGTAGAGATGTACATATCCATTTATCAAATTAAACAGTGGTACTTTAAATCAGCAATGAAGGAAATACAGACATGACAAACAAACCTAGGCAAATACATGTTGCTAAGAAAAATAGGAAGTGTCTTCAAGAGCATATTGTCTGTCTTGTAATTCATTAAGATGGTATGAACAGATTACAAGAATTGTTTAAAACAGAAGTGTTATTAATACTATAGATAAGACAGAAAAATATATATTGTAATAGACACATGCAGATACATGCATACTCTACTGCTTAGAATTTGAAGACAAAAAAAGATGATACAAACAGTGGCCCAAAGATAATAAACTCCCTTGCATTGCATTGTCTGAGAAACCACTGTTAAAATTCTTCTATTAGAGGTGAATATTTTTATATCAATGTTTCCATGTACTATAAATCCAAAGGTTCTTAGGGAACAGTAGAAATATGCAATGCTGCCAGAAGCCAAAGTGAGGAAGCAGAAGAATCACAGTAATTACAGGTCAGTTATTCTGGCATCAGTCCTAACCAAAAAAATGGAAAAGCTGATAAGGGCTTCAATTGGTATAAAATTAAATTATGACAGTACAATTGGTGCCAGTCAGGATGGCTATATGGAAAGGTAAGTCTTGCCAAACATTTTGGTGAATGCAACTACACAGGTGTAAGACTTGCATAAGACATTTGGCTTAGTCCCTCAGTGTAGTCTGATTAAAGGACTGGCACTGACAAAAACAGTTTATGGGCAGAGTGGCAAGCGAGGGCAACACCAGCATGAAGTAGCACGTTCAGCTTCCTGCCTGACACTGCTCCTGTGTGCAGCCAGGCTAACCAGTGCCAGGCAGAGACAGAGGAAAGACCAGGAACAGTCTGTCATCAGAGGCCACGGCAAGGAAATAGCAACAGGAAATCCTGAAAGCAGTGCCAAAGCCCCCCTAACTCCAATAAGCAGAGTTTTTCATATAAAGCTTGTAAAGAAACTAAAACCTAGGAAAATTCTGCAGAACTTCAAGTAGAAGACATATTATGAGACAGGTACTTAAAATCTGGATGGAGATCAATGTCCAAACATTTGAGGTTCAGTCCAGAGTAATGGACAGGTTCAATTCCATTGCAGAGAGAGCATTTGGGGGATTTGTGGCAAAATATATAGACTGATCCCTGAAAGTTGCAACAGGAGAACTGAATCATAGTGCATTCCAAGCCCTGCTAAACAACTAAGTCTAGTCCCAACAGATTTTGTGTACGTTCATCACAACACAGATGCTTTCATGTCTCAAGTCTCTTGGGAACACCATGTGTTTTGTCTGTTTTGTTTCTTAATGATTTGCAAACTTTTAAAACTTGGCCGTGTTGCTACTTTGCTTGTGGGTTCAAGAAAAGACAAGAATCCATAAACCTTTGATCCACATGCTACAAATGTACTAGAGAAAAAAGAGAAGAAAAGAAAAGAAAACAGTGCTGTCAACAGGAAGATATAAGGGTTGGTTTGTGTGAATGGGGATAATTAGTTGAAATGTGATATGGAAATTGTTTTGGTTTTTTCTTTCTGGAAAATATATATTTGTGAGAACAGATTTTATGTAAAATGTTAAAATGTTTTAGAGAACATTTTATACCAGATTAAATCTCAAAGATAGATACTTTTCTGGTCTCACTACAAAAAAAAAAGAAAGGACATTGAGTTTCATTGAGTTAGCTGCAGAAAAGAGAATTGTTATTAATGTTTTTATCAGCTATAGATTTAATAATCTAAAAGACTATTAGATCTCTTTACAACTGCATTTTTAAGTATCACATTTCAGAAAGCATGAGTTGAGAGTTTCGTACATCTCACTTTAAGGAGCTCAGCCTACTAACAAGAGAAAAAGAAAAGATACTTTCAGGGACTTCACTACCTTACTAAAGAAGTTTATCCAGCAGAAGATGCCTTTGTGGGACAAACAGCTGCTTACCTGGCTTGTCCAGCTCAAAGGCAGTAAGTTACTGTCTGGGGATGGCAATTTTCCTTCTCCTCATCGGATGGATGTGAATTAAATCCTAAATAACAGCTGGACTCCTGATCCAAGCCAATTGTCTTGGCTCCCTCTATAGTCCAGGAAGGAAATAGGTACTTCTGAATGGCAACTGCTCCCGTGAGTGCCAGCAGTATGTCTGTGCTGCAGTGACATGTCTTGATCCCCAATGGCTCTAGAGGGAACCTTGATGAGCAGCTTAGCCTGGAACTCAAACCTCCACCAGCCAACACTAGGTGAGGTGAATAATATTGAGTGGTACCACTGATACATATATCTAAAGTCAAAATGCAACTGTGCCCATGAATTTAGCCACATGGGTCAGGTTTCAAAAACCCAGATAAGCACTAGAGATTTAACTCTGGCTTTAGAAAAATCCATTTCATATTTGAGTCAAATGTAGCTATAAAATGAAATGTGAGAACCTTATATGTATTTACGAGGAGTGTTATGAAAATTGCTAGCTGAGAGGGCAAAAAGAGGCAGAGCTAGCTTTCCCTTGGCTCAAGGGAGGCACGGACAAAACTTGCATTTTGCCTGCAACCCTCTCCAAGAAAATGGGAGAATGGCTATCCACAGTTTTTCAGCTTTGGTGCAAGGCCTGTGCAAGCTGTGATTTAAAAGTAATTGTGGTAATTGCTGTAACTACAAAGTTAATGCATGCAACGTTAATTTTGTTCACAGAGAGTTGTGCCAGTAATGGCACCATCCATCATTTTCTGTTAAAACAGGAACAGGTGTTAATCTCCACTCAGCAATGGGTGCAATGTGAGTGAGCAATAAGAAAAATGCCAAAGAAGAAAAACCACTGTCAAAGCTCTCTGTCACAGAAAAACAATTTCTAGCACTATCTCTGTAATTGGACTCAACTAAAGAGTGAAAAATGGTTTGACTTTTCAGTGACAGAGATTGTTAATGAATCCAATTTTTCTCTTCCACCTTGATTAGCTTTCTGTACGAAGATCCATTTTAGCTCTGTACAATGTAGCTTAGGGTAATAGACACCCAGCTGCTCTAATCTTGCCAGTAGTCCCACTTGCAGAAAAGTATTTTTTTTCTTAGATAGGCTGCTAAACTATTACCAGGTTTTCAAGCATAATGGAAAACAATGCAGAATAGAATTTAAATAGGACTTCAACAACAATTTTGGTATTTTTCTAGCTTTAACAGCAACCTTACAAGATTTTTGAATACTTTGCACATCCTGTCCTCCCAGGCATAAATCTATCCTCCCAGGGTTCTGTGTATTTCCAGATAGCCTGGGCACTCCAGTGTTGGGTTGCTCAGCTCCACACAATGCTACCTTGCAGAGCAAGAGCATAGCCAAAACCTCCAAGGGCAAAGTGGTTCATTAAGTGTCACTCAATTTATTAACAGGGCTCATTCCAAGCAGGTAGCAAAGCATTTCCAATAAGCAATCAGAGCAGTACTGCCCTTTTAATTGTACTCTGTATTTGAGACATTTCCAAAGGCCATGCCAGGGGCATCTGCATGGTTTGGCCAAAGTAAAAGAGCCTGTTTGTGTTGCCCAATGCTCACACCCTTTCCACCAAAGGCATGTCTGCACCTCTTTTGATAAAAAGCAGCCCATGATCCTGACCTTGTCTGTCCTATGGCACAGACTGCAATAGCATTTGGGAAATATAGCATTAGGGAAATGTAAGAAAGAAAAAAGGAAGTGTTGGGTTGGAAATACATTTTTGGAACAAAAGTGAGCTAATAACTAAACCCAGGTTCTCTGGATTTGCGTTAATTCTTAAATAGTGCTACCTAAGGAGTGTCTTCAGCAGTGGGGATACAGTCTGATATATTATCAGCAATGAACCTATTGATATGCAAAATATATGTTCTACATGATTCAAATACTGAGAATTGTGCATGTTGAGAAACAGAGGCAGTTTTGAAAAGCCAGGTAACACCACCCTCTGTGCAGTGTTATCCTCTGGAGTGATGTGGCTCCCTTGGTGTCAGGGAAGCAGTGCCTGCATGAGCAGGAGGCATCTCTGAGCTTCACACAAGATCTGCCCTTGATTTCACTGCATTTGGGGTCAGCTGCAGAGAGGATTAGGATCTGGGTAGTGGATCTGCCTCACTTGAAAATTCAGGCTTTGAGAAAGGACAGCAGATAAGCAGCACACCCAGAATATTTAGCAGGAAACGAAATATTCTGCGAAACAGTGAAAAAAAGTGCATAGGTTATGTCTTTCATATGAGTATAGACAGATATTGCAAATATTCCTTCACCTGTCCAGCTGATCCTTACAAATTACTCAGTGAGTGAAGGCTTTCCCAAGTGATCCTGTTTCAGTTTATTTCGGTTTTTATAAATAATTAATTTATTTTCCAAAAGAACTCTGAATTGAAAAATCAATGCACACCTTTAATTTGTCATGTATTCAATTTAAAATCTGATGTTAGTACTGGAGATTTCAAAAGGAGAACTTAAAAAGAACATTTTTCATTTTGTTTGAGAAAATCATTAAAGGCAAAACCTGTAAATCACAGAGATGGCCTTGGTGCTGACAAACAGATGAACCCCAGGAAATTTAAATGCAAATGTCACATTCCTTGTCAAGAAAAGAAACCTAAAAGAAAAGACAGGAAGAAGGGGTCATTGTCCATTTTTTCCTAATTCTTTTTTTAATATAAATGCCCATTTGCCAGGAAGTAGAAGGCAGCATAATATGCTAGCACTCTAAATGCACTCTTCATAATTAATGTTAGTAAAGAAGTTTTAAAATGCCTGCAACTTTGACTCTATGTTTCACAATTTGCATAATTTTGTATGTCTTTCAGCTGCTGAATTTATTCTTCCAATTATTACTTCTTTTTAAATAATAGGCTTCTATGCATGGATAGATTAAATAAAAAATTGTGTGTCGACTGTGAGCTCTCATTATATAAAATGTTCCTATCCCTCTGGCTTTTGAGATAACTTTCCTTTTTACTCTGTTTCAGTAATTAGTTTTCCTGAATATATTACATATCATTGCACAAATTTCTGGGGAGCATTTGTTGTATGAAACACAAAAAACACAAACAGAGCATTCTAGGATTGACAGAACTGCACAGCCCAATGTAAAAACCCAGCCCCACAGTAAATGTGGGGCTTTTTTAAGATTATGAAGCTTTTTGACTCGTCTATGTTTCAATGCTCTCTTTGTTTTGTACTGCTTTTCAAGTCATCTTTAAACTACAAAGAATTAAATATAAGTTGTGTATTTCTTTATGCCGTTGTGGCTTAGCTCCTCAAATGGGTATTTCTAATCCAACAACCACAACAGTACTGACTATCCTTTATACGGTCTTAGGAGACAAATGCAATTTTTGTTTGTCTCCCTTGTTACAATTTGCAGCTCTGGTGAACCTGAAATGTAAAAAATTAACAATAATATTCTCTACACTATACTCTGATTAATTATCCAATGCACATGCTCCAGACTTGGAAGTCATTTTTTCTCACTTTATTTCGATCGCTGCAGTGTTTTTGGGTTTTTTTGTCAGAGTGAATTTTAAAACTTGAGCTGGGAGCAGCCTGGTGCCACTGGCTGGTTGTGGCAGCCTGTGAGAGCACAGCTGCCATGGGGGAGTAATGGGCTGTGGAGCCCCACATAGAAACTTGGCCCTAAATTAGTGTTGTAACAAAGAAATCAATGAAGTCTGAGAGAATTACAGAGCACTTGGTGACATGAATAAGAAGAAGATCACTAGAAATTAAAATCTGGTGTGTGAAATGGAGTAATATTGAGAACCCTTATTGATGTAAGTCAATTACGGTCAAAAAATCACCTTTTGGCGTCAAATGATGACCCCATAGAAGTCCATAGTAACTCTTCCACAGCCTTACGTGGGGCCTGGATTTCATATTCAACAGCCAGGAATACCCTACAGCAAATATTTTCATCTGTGAAGACAGAAAAGGAAAAAACAATTTAAGTATTCCTAACATACAGAGAGAATGGATTAATGACATTATATTATTCAGAATATAATTAAATCCTGAACTTTATTTTTAAAAATAGTGCAATCATGTGTTTATATGTAGAGCTAAGGCACTTCTTCCCTTTTTTTCTTTTTTTTAAACATTGCATGATGACATCAGCTAACGCTGCAACACTTCTCAGGGATTTTGTGCAGAATCTTAATGTTTACACTAACAACGTAATTTAAGAAAGTATATTATGTAAATCCTTGAATCTCCTAGGGTCTAGGAATGAAATGTAATGCTAATTTGATTTAGTAATTTGTTCTCTCTCCCCAGAAAGACACAATTACTGCTTTTGAAAGACTTTTTTCTTTTTCCATCACGCTAGGACTAAATTGAAAACTGAGTCGGCAGAAAAGCCTGGGCTGGGAACATAGAAGAGCTCTGCTACTCAGGCTCTTACAGCCAGAACACAGAGTGCAGGGAGATTTATTTCTCAAAACGGAATGTTCATTATCTCTTTTTTTTTCTTTCTTTCTTTTTTTTTAAGCAAGAAATGGAAACAAAATAAGTCTTCTTGAAATTCCATAATAGTAATCTAAACGTGAAATGTGAGCTGAAAATAACGTGCCTCTCTGTGTGTGTCTAGAAGAGAGAGGCCTTGCAGCTCTGTGCGTGTCTGTCTGCAGGAGGGAAGGAGGGAGGTTGTGTGTCTGTGTACAGTAGTGTAGAAATAGTTCATCAAATGAGTGGTTTCCTGTCCTGATCTGTAGATTTTCTTTCTTCCATGAAAGGAAATGGAGATAATTGATCTGACTTCCATCAGCACATAAAAGAGATTGTCGGCAATTTGTTTTCTGGAGGGCTACTTAAATACATGGTGATGTGGTGAGCAGGAAAGATCACCCACAAACTCTGCAGCAGTCCCAGATGCCTGGTGGGCACACCCAGAGCACCAATACATTCCGTCATTTGCAAAGTATGACTTTCCTTTCTTTCTCTCTCTCTCTCTCTTTCTCCCTCTTTCTTCTCCTTTAAGGATACACGGTGTCCCTCCAGGTTCTGCAGTCTGGGTTTGATTAAATAATTATAAACTTCAAGCAGCAGATCTATCATTTACATTCCTGAACATGCCAACATGTGCCTTTTGTGGGGATGCCAACCAATACCAAAGCTTCAGTCATTATTGTCATTGAAAATACAGTGGTTCAATGTTTGTGCTATTTCCTGGATTTTGGCAATATAATGTTGCCCAGCAATTTGCTGTTAGTGCCAACAACACTAAAGAACTTCATAATAAATCCTTTCTATATTTACTCAGTCCACCACTGTGTCACTGAAATTAGCATTTTACGATCTTATGCTCCAAGGAACCTATTTTCTCTCTTTTAACTCCATGCTATTATGAATCCCAACAGAAAATCCTTCAAAGCATGGTTTGCTTCAGCTTCTCTGTATAAGGATTGCTGTCAGTCATGTTTGTTTTCTGAAAAGACGTAGAGCTTGCAGCTTCATGGTACATGATGGCAAAGATAAACCAAGCTAACAAACAAGACAGAGTGTTTAATTTAGGGATATTATAGAGATTGCTTCAAAATGTCAGATGTCTTCATGCAGCCTTAAGTGCAGAAGACAAAATTAACAGAAGAAGATACCAAAAAAGTAACATGATCAGATCTTTCCCTGAGGTCCAGATGAGCCAACTCTGCTCATGTGAGTGACAGACATAGTGAAGACAGAGGGTTTGACTTCTTTGAATGAAAATATCATGGTAATGGAAGAAAACAATAACCAGTGTAGGGGCCTTAGAAAAGGAGTGGGATACTCAGGGATACTCCAGCCAATGCTTCATGGAAACCGTGGGACCACTGGGGCTGAAATATTGTTGTAACTGGGTAATTCAGCCCTTTGCTTACAATGGCGTGGGAGAGAATAAAAGAGTGCCTTTTGCACTGAAATCCTCAGAGGGACTTCCCTGTGAACCCTGAGTTTGGGATCCTGTCTAGGTGGTCAACATAGGGCCAAATTCCACTCATTTGTTTGGTCCAAGAAGAGAAGCAGCTGCATTAAAAGGATTGAGGGGAAAATTAGGAGCAAGCATTTTCTAGGGAAAGGAAGAACAGGTTTGATTAGAAGGGAGAGAGAGCAGAGGGCAATAGTTTTTTTCCTTTGCAGTGAGAGAAATGAAAGCAATGCCTTCTGGAAAGAGATGGATGAATGGAGAAGTGAAGGCTTGGGAAGAGGCACACCAAGTGACTCACTACAGCTGTAATTTTTGTCACTGGAATAGAGGGAGGCTGGAATTTTTTGACTAATGGGAAGCACATCATTGCTATCCTCTCATAACCCTGAAAAGCTCAAAAGATTTTGCTGCACATTCTGTCCTGTAGCAAATTCACCAGAAAACCCCTCATGCCCCAGAGTGGGTTATTTTGGAGACGTGCACGTGTGTGTGCATGGTCACAAGGCCGGGGAGGAAACTGCCCTGTAATCTCAGCCCTGGTGGCAGAGGCGGCTCCCACAGCCCCAGTGATGTGGGTGCACACCAGCTGAGTTACAAGCTCCCACAGGCACAACCCCTCGTTAGGAAAATCCATGGCAGAAGCCATTTAACCCCTCCTGTGCTGGCTCCTCACAGTGGTTCCAGTGCCACGGCTGCACCGGCGAGAGCGGCCGGGCCTTTGTGCCCTCACCAGGAAGGGAGAGGCCCTGCAGGATCTGCTCCAGCACTTTCATTAATCACAGCACATTTTCAACAACAAGGATACCTCCAAAAACATAAGAAACAGCATGGCATAAAGAGAATATCTAACAAATAAAAATCGGGTCATTTGGCTGAGCAGCTCCAGTCCCTGCAGCCCCTCTGTCCCTGTTCCCTGGGGTGAGCCCAGGGGTTGCAGTGGTCCAGCAGCCACCCCAGGACACTCTCACTGCTCTGGGCAGCACAGGAATGGGAACAGCTGATTCCAAGGGGCTGCTAAGGCTGGAAACAACCTGATCTTCAGGTCAGACTGAGAGAAATTTTGTAAGCAACTTCCAGGCATAGTCTATGTTTTGGTCCCCACGAAGCAGGCTACAAAGGAGTTTCTTACAGTGAGATGGACACTCTGCACTGAGCCACTTATTAATCTGCTCTTTGTTAAGTGTGGCAACAGGAGAGGCCCATTTCATTGCAGAGAGAAAATATTCCAGCTGGTTGAATTGCTATGGCAGCACCCTACTTTATCCCCATTTTAAAGTTTTGTCTTATTTGTGTAGCAGTAGTAGTTTTATAACTTTTGTTTAAGGTGCCCAAGATGTTGGAAGGGTGTGCAATAAACACTGAAAGCAAAAATATTCTTGTGATGGTGCCTTCACAGCTGGCTGGCTGTGTATTTCTATATGTCAGATGTCACAAATGCATTAGGTGAAAACATGGGACCAGGTACACAAAGGTGCCTAGTTTCTGCCCCTGCTGGGTCCTCTTCCCATGGCAGAGTCATTCAAACTTCCAGAAACTGTGAACTGAGCATATAAAACAGTAAAACAAAAACAAAAAGAATCCAAATGTAACCAAACCACTCTGGTTTTTCATTTCTGCTTTTTCTATTTTACATGCACAGTTCAAATACTTTCCTGGGTTAAATCTGTTGAGCTCAGTGTGTCACTGCTAGAATTTACATGGAAAGGCATTTCTATAAAACACATCAATCTCTGGAATACAGAAGTCTCTTCTGGCATGGCTCTGTTGTGGCTGAGTTGTGTCAGCTCCCTCCTGTCGGCACTGGGGACACAGGTACTGAAATGTGGGACAGGGGGACGGGAGGTCGGGACACTGGCTGGCACATCTGGTTAGAGGGAGCCTGGCTGAAAGGGCTGGGGCAATTTCCAGCCCACTGGGGTGAGTGCCCTGAATTACACCATTACACCATTATACTCATTTTACGAGTTTAAACAGTCAGACTGAGCCCTAATTCTGTAGGCTTGTGGTGTGACCAGAAACCACCTCCTTTTCTGCTTCTGATTTTCCTCAGTAGTAAGGAAAACTGAGTTACAAGAACAATATTTCACTAACAATTTCTTCTAAAACTATTCTAATAAAAACATCCTGAAACTAGTATTCATCTACTTCCTTTTCTAAGATTTTTTTTTTGTTCTAAGGTGGTTGTTTAGAAAAGCGGTTTTAATCTTAAATTAAAGGGCACAAAAAAGAGCAAAAATTATTACTGAAAACAACAACAAAAATACCTTTGCCATCTAACTTATGATCAAACTACCACTCAATTAGTTACTTAAGTTACTGTCATCCTTCCCTTAATTTGTTACTAATGACAGGGAAAACATCTGAAAAGTAGGTTCTGGGCTTGTAAAAAATCTGACTATAAGCAACTAGAAAAATGAAAATGTATGGAGACTTTTCATATCCTCTGAGATACTTAGGAATACAGTAGACATCAACATTGTTTTAATTTATTTTGTCTGCTTCTATCTGTGTGCTCTGCACTGTTGGCTTATTGTGATGCTGGATTTGTTATTTTATACTTCTGTGTATGAAGGTCACACACAGACTGATGTTTTCACTCACAGGACCTCATTTGTTTCACAAACCACTACTGCAAAGATGGAAAAATGTCTTTGAAATTATATGAAATCCCACTGATATGAGTGTGGCAGTGACTATCCTCACACTGTCACCACTGGGAGGTATTTTCCTTGGGATGGTTTTGGCCACTGATCCTGGACTGAAATCTTAGGTAGAGTGGCAACAACACAGGTTGAATTGCACTGAAAGACCTTTGTTAACAGTGTGCAAATGCACTTTTAAATGATGTTGTCCTTCCATCACCTTTGACAGTACTCAATCATTCCTATACACAAAACAAAGCAAAATTAAACAGGAAATTTTTTCCTAGTGTCTGGCAGGAGTCTGCTTGACATAGGAATTACTTCTGCCATGATCATCATTAAATACCTGTTGCTGCAAGCAAAAAATTACATTG